CACACGAGTTAGGCCGCGGACACGGCGGGGGGAACGCTGTCTGGCCGTGGAGCGCGACGTACAGTAGGGTTGCGCAGGGCATGGCTGTGCGCGTGCGCCGTCTTGGAAGAGGCGAGGTGCTGGCGGATGCGCAGGCGCTGGACGTCTTTCCCGCGGTGGCGCAACATGGCGTGGAACGAGCGGCGTACGTGGAGATGCTTTGATCGTTGCCCTTTCGACCGAGATTGTACTTCTGTTGCGGCAACCCAAGGGAGGAGTTGTGATCGTGATACGTCGTCTTGCTGGAGGTGATGGCTGGAGGTGATGGCTGGAGGTATCTCGATTGTGCGTAGGCGGGTGGTGAGGATTGGTCGGGAAGGAAGGAGCACGATCGATACCGCGTCTCTCAACGATCAATAGTTGGCTGCCTACGACTGAATGGCAGCCTTGCGGATCCCAGGCGGTGAGATGGCCGCTCCGAAGGCGTACAGCCTGTTTGGACGGAAAGAAGACAAAAAGGTGCGTCGATCAGGGCACGGCAGCACACGCGGAGAGAGAGACAGCAGGCCATCACGCACGCTTACAACTGGCGACAAGAATCATGTTCGCTGACGACTGACTGCGCTTTCTGTATGACAGTATCCCAATCGCTCATGCCGCTGCTGTCTATCAGCCGATCCTGGATTTCTTCCCAAACGCTTCGGCCTGCCTATGCTCATGCGTGGCTCTATCCTGACCCAACCCTTTCCCCTACCTTGTCAGCCCAGCCTATACACTCACGCTTCTCTTTGGAAGCGTCTCCTCCTCGGCCTCTTCTTCATCACTCTCGCTCTTCAAGTAAAGTGGCAGGCTTTCCACACTGACCGATCTGTTGTAAAACGCCTCATTGTCTTGGACGGTTGCCTCGTCCGTCGTATCGTCGACTATGCTATCAGCCGAGTCACGGGCATTCTTGCTGACAGGCTGGAGAGCCGTCTCATTTTTGACCTCATTCGTGGCGTTGTTCGTGTTCGCAGATGCACTCTGGGCGTGTGGCGCCATCACCCCATGGCCGCGACCTCGTCCTCGATGGAGACCGCCTCGTGGGTTGAAACCCCTACCTCGACCTGGCACGTGCCGCAACGAGACTTGGCCTCGGCCACCCGCGTGGTGATGCGCGGGAGGGTTAGAATGTGTACACGCCCGCTGCGGCGGTCGTGGATACCTTGTCGTGTGATTTTGGTGCTGTTGAGGACCATTCGAATAATTGTAATGGTTCGGCTCAGGCTGGTCGCAAGTCGTGGGATCTACCAGCGCCGACGATGGCATCCGATACTGCGGAGCGACCCACTGTTGGTGTTGCTGAGGACCTTGCTGCCAGTGTTGATGTGCTTGAGGAGCTCCTTGAAAGGTTACAAAGTACTGTTGACCATTCGGATACGGATATTGTTGCGGACACTGGGTCTGCGGCTGAACGTGCTGAGCATAGAGCTGAGGGTACGGCCGTGGGTATGGCTGGGGGTACGTTCGGGTGTGCTGTCGAGGGCCCTGGCGATGGCCTTGCTCATGCTTTTGTTGAACAATTGGCCGTTGAGAGAACTGCTGAGTAAATGGTTCCTGCCGCTGCACGCACTGCTGTTGTCCGTTTTGAGAGCACTGAGGCTTCTTCGCCGCACTGGGTTGAGGAGGAGGAGCAGCCTCCTTGGGGGGCACGTCTACGTCTTGAGACTGTGGAGCGGCGAGATCCTGAGGCTTCTGGGGCTCACCCAGGAGCGTCTGTTCGGGCTCTGCCGCTGGCGGGAGTCGTACCAAGGCACGAGCATCGGGGTCGTGGAATAGAGACTCCGCAGAGTCCCTAAGTTCGTTTGTAAGGTTTCCATGAGCACCAGCCAAGGTTTCAGCCGGAGAGTCGTCTACGTTGGCCTGTGTTGAGTTTGACGTAGATTGGACCATAACCTGCACCGTTTGAATACCCGAATCTGCGTGCTCAGGGGGTTCTTGGATCGGTTCAACAGGAGCCTCAACCACGTTGTCGTCATTCTGGGTCGGGTTCTCGTCGACAGACGAGGAAGATGAGTCGACATGCTCAGGGGGTTCTTGGATCGGTTCAACAGGAGCCTCAACCACGTTGTCGTCGTTCTGGGTCGGGTTCTCGTCGACAGACGAGGAAGATGAGTCGACATGCTCAGGGGGTTCTTGATACGATTCGATAGAGGCCTCAGCCACACTGTCATCGTTCTGGGCAGCGCTCTCGTCGACCGACAAGGAAGATGAGTCGACATACTCAGTACAACTCTTGGAGTCGCTCATGGGGTACGCTATAGGTAGGTCGTTCTCTGGAGAAGTGCTACCTTGGGTGACAGGCTGCTGAATAGAGAGTTCTACTTCTTCAGCCCAAGACAAAGCCTCAGGATGTTGCACAGGTATAGCAGTTGGAGTGGACCCCTCATCGGGACCAACTTGAGATCTTGTGGACCGGGAGCTCTGCGTGCTCGCAGGTCTCGACTCAGGTTGTGTTGGCAACGCCTTCTCAACAGCATCGTCGTGAATGAGTTCTGAAAGATTCTTCGCTTCCTTGGTCCCATTCGCCTGTTGAGGCTTCTGTTGGTGCTCAGGTTTCTTTGACGCCTCTTCCTTTAAGTCCTTACAAATTCGTTCATAGTTCCCGTTGCTCGTCGTTGCGGCTCCCAGGGTACGAGACATGGAACATGATGTCTTCAAAGGCCCCTTGAACACAGTCTTCGAAGCACTGTTGGCCTTCGTGTGATCAACTTTTGGTGCAGGTTTTGACGAGGCTCTTAAAGAAGCGCGAACTTTACTTTTCTCGCTAGTTGGTTTGGTCTTCGCTGGCGCCCTTTTCTTCCTGCGAACGACGGTCTCCCAGACTTGCGAGTTTGACTGCGCTTGCTCCATGGCCTGATCATTCGTATTCTCGGGTAAAGAGAGATCGATCTTCCATTTTTCGTCCGACACAGCATCGGACGACTCATCAGCGAAAGTGGAGGTAACAGACATGCCCTTATTCCCTGTGTCTTCCTTTGGCCCTGTACTTTCGGAGCCTCCTATCGACGCTTGCTCTGTATCTGTCACACCAGCCTGCTAGGCTGGCAAGCGCTTGGCAGGTTCGTCCAGCGGCTCACTCGCCTCGTCCGGTGAGGCCTCTTTGGCAGGACCTTTCTGAAGAACATCAACCTTCCTAGAAAGGTCTTTCACCATTTCGGTAAGTTCATCAAATCTCCTCATTGCTCTTTTTTCGAAAAGTATCATCAACTCATGAAGCTGAGCATCCTTCTTGTCTTTGCGCCCTTTCTGCTGTCGTCCGGTGCTCGGCTCGGTATCGTCATCGTCGTCGTCGTCGTCGTCCGCCATGGTGGAACTAAAGCTGGATTCCTCCGACATAGTATAGCATGATGTATCGATGGTACTGGCCTGGCATATCTTGTTGAGGTCCTTCGATGTCGGTCCCTGCGAAGGTACCTCGTAGACCTCATTCTCTGTTTGAGGACCGGGTTGCTCATGATCGATATGCGGTGGAACCTCCCCTGGGGAAGAGGTATCGGTCTCGTCATTAAAGGTGAGCTCGGGCTCGGGATGACCGGCATCATCGCGTTCTTCGTCTGAGCAATTGTGAGCTTCCGTCCGAGTGCCTTTGCTGTTCTTGCTATCCTCATGAGTGCAGGGTTGCGTCGCATGAACCCCAAACTTGTCGTTGTCTTGCTTCTCTGGAAGCAATAGCTGTGAATCTTCATGCAAGTCGGGCTCGGGATGCAGAACCTTTGTGCCAGGCTCAGAGCTGGCTGGCCTCATCTTGCTCATGTCTTGAGGAGCTTCGCCGTCTTGAACCATGATTTTCACTTCAGAGTCAGCATCAAGAGTGACCGAACAACCAGTGTGCTCTTCCTTATCCTCAGGGGCGGCGGTATCGTCCTGAGAAGCTTCTGACACAGGGCTCTCAGGTAAAGGGACGCGAGTCGCGGCGAGGAAAGCGTCTTCCTCCGCAGTCAAAGCCTTTGCCTCAGTGGCTTGAGCAGCTTCAAGTTTCCTCCGGGCTTGAGCCTTCTTCCTCCGCTCCCTCTTCTTCATGGACTTCGTCTTCGGAGCTGTCTGTGGCTCCTGGGCGTTGACGATGGTATGGGCGATGGTTGGGCCAAACCGAGAAGGGTACAGAACACAAGGATTTGCGTGCCATTCAAGTAAGACTTTGATAGCGTGGTGGTAGTCCCGCATCGAGATATCGCACAGCTTCTGGAACTGTGCGTCTTCGTCGACATGCCAGCTTACGAAGATCAAGGGACCGTGCCAAGGGTAGAGATTGTGGCGTGGCGCGTACCGCCGTACGCTTCTGTTGAGCCACTTGTCCTCGAGGCCCTCGGTTGTTTCGCCTACAGGTGAGATGAGGGTGAGAGCGTGGCCGAGCTTGGTGTTCTGCATGAAGGGCAGATCGTTGCAGAGAATCGAAGAGGCGCTACCCCAGGGATCAGGATTGCATTCCACCGACAGCTGAGCAAGCTCTGGGTGGTCCAGGTCAACGCTTATCGATGTGTCGTTCATTCTGACCCAGATCAAATCAGGAGCCGAGGTGTAGGCCGGGAAGAGGAGCGCCATGTAGAAGTCCGTTGTAGGCCTCGTCTGCTTCGCAAGGGACGTATACGTGCGGCAAAGCTCTCGATGAATCGTGGATGCCTTCTTCGAACAAGAAGTGTTGCAATAGACCGAGCCGCAGCGTTTGCAATGACGGGCCTCGTCTCTGGGTAGCTCATGGCAGGATAAGCAATGGTCTCCTTCCTGCTCGTCGGTTTTGTAGTGCTTAAGCCAGTCAGGGTAATTATCAATGTTGGTAGTATCGCCGGTAGCCTCGGAGGAGAGCCCCTCCAGCCAAGAGTGGCCGTGACGTGCGCCATTATAATAGCTATAGCAATTGAGGTCAGCCATATTGCACCAAGCCCCCTGATACTCCTCCGGCGGCTACTAGTCTATTTGATCAGTCCACGCAGCGCCCGAGCTGTTTTTCGAGAAGTGTCAGGTGCAGGCATCCGGCCCAGGACGTCCGGTCCGCTTCGTCTATGTATCACAAGTATTACACAGGACATTGCTATTCTCACCCTTTTAAAGGAAGATGAATGAATGATACAGCAAGGAAAGCTCATGTACTAACCTGAAACAAGGAGAGGAGGGAAGGGCGGGGCGGGAGGTGGTGAAAATGATGATGATGATGGTGATGCTGATGCTGGAGTGACACACACCTCATTAGCATTGCAGGGCTTTCAAAGCCTTACATGAGCCCGTGCTTTCAAAGCGAGTCACGAGCAAGCACATGACTGCTCCGGTGGTGAGAATCAGCGGAAGGACGTACTGGTAGAGTTGGAGAGGGAGGCACTACCCTATCGACGTGGTCAGCAGTCATCCATGGCATCTAGCCAGAGCTACGAAAATATCGTTCGGTCAAAAGAAGCTCTTCCATCACACCAGAACATGTTGCTGGGCCTCGGGCTGTCTGGAGGAGAGTGGCAACTTACAGTCTTTGTTGGTGATGAAGTGCGGTATTGTGAGGGAAGAGTTTTGCAGATTCCGAATTCGGGCTTGTGGGCTTCATCACTCAGGCATAGGGCCTGGATCACAGATCTTTGGCACGCTTAGTCGCCCTCTTAATCAGCGCCGAGAGAAATGCGTTGACATAGCAGCAAGTGGGCTGGAAAGTGATGGCATCGTGGCTTTATGAGGCCGTCGACGCATGCGGGGCCACTCTCTCTTGCACGGCGGTGGTGCGCTATACAATATGGGTGTGTATTCCTGGGAACCAGAAAAACGCCACTTCACGTCACGTCAGCTCTTTGTAGCTATCTCAATGATGTTGAAGAAACAGTGCGCCGCCACTGTGGTGACTTGGCTCATTTTGAAGGCGTTGAACGGGTTCTTAGGGCTTCTCTATGTCTGAGCAGCTTACACGATTCCGAGGCGAAGAAGACGGCGGTAGTTAGATCGTCTTCCGTCAGCTGAGACGGGACTTAACCATACGATCACCGAGGCGAAATGCCGATCCACACCAGATACGATGAAGGCCAATAGTGAACATTCGAGTCTGCATTGCTCCAACTTATACGCAAATGTGCCTGCCCATGAGGTCTAGTAACCGCCCAGATATACAACAAGCCTACGTTGCCAGGCCGTCCATAATACCAAGGAAGATGAGTGGAGGCGAATCGATCAGGGTATCAGGCCAGTCATGATCTCCACGTCGCGTCCGTTCCCAGAACCCCTTCCTTCCCTGTTCCATTCATATCCTCGCCCAGCGAGCGTCGGCAAACGGAGACGCGCAAATGGGTCTACGTCCACGCGCAGGCTGGGTATCACATTAGCCTAGCTTCCCTGCGTAGCCGTCTCCAGAATGAGTGGGTATCTCGTTCGTCGTGTAACCATAACGGGGGAATCAAAATCACGAAAAGAAAACAGGAAACCATCTAAGGTGTGAAAAGAAAGAAGGGGCCACCGTGACCCAAAATAAAGTCCTACCGATAATCCATGTCGCCTACATAGAAAAAGAGAGAGCCTAGACGAGAGAACAGTCCGTGACAGATGACTGGCACGAACCGGGTGAGGGCCGACTCAGACTCAGAGACTGTGCACAAACACGAGAGTTGAGATGCTGCATAGAAAACAAAAAGGAGCAGATGACAAGAGCAAGAATAAACGCTGAAGCCAACCACAACCAGAAAGAAAAGAGAAGCATCGATCAAAATCAAATCCAGGATATCGTTAAATCATCAGAGTCGCGCTGCGAACCTCGAACTGCGCACCGCACCCTTGGCCACCAGCAGTGTAAGTCGTAAGTCGTAAGAATATGTATGAAAGTATTCGTTGTGATGGGGTTCCAGGTCTGGATAGCCCCTGCAGGAAAGTTAGATCGCTGGAGGCCGGTTCTGGCCCACCTGGCGTCAGTAGGCAGTAGCCGTCGAGCCTTCGCTGGCGGCAACAGCCACAAGAGCATCAAATCGCGAAGAGTTCTCGGCTGTGCGGTCGCCGCCGGGTTGCTGAGAGTGCGGCTGGGGCTGGCTTGGAGATTCCCGCGGAGGTTCCCTGCCGGGAAAACCAGAGAAAGCTGTCATGTTGGGATGCTCCATGCGGTCCACACGCGGGCCTCTGACAAGCTCGCCTTGAGCTTGTTGGGCAAGTGGGCCATGATACCAACCGTGTCGTTTTGAATCGCGTGGTGTCGATATCATGGCCGCAGACATGGTGTACTGGTGGTGGTTTCTGGTGAAAGGTGGCGTGTTGAAAATGCGTGGTTAGAGATGCAGTACTGAATTCTAATCTGACAATCG